CCTGAAGAGCTGGTTGGGCCGCACTGGCACATCCGGCACCCGCAGAGTCACTGCTTCATCCAGAGGTACCTCCTGGTACTGTGGGGGGTCTGCTGCCCGCAGCTCCACGCCGCCCACTGGGAGAGCCTGCTCCCGGGTGTCCTCCTCCCCACCGGGACCACAGCCCCCAGGGCCCTCGCTGGCTGGCTCCAGTGTGTAGGCCAGCTCGGCCCGCGTGGTGGAGCCCTGGGAGAACCAGTGCGAGGGGAGCTCCAACTCCACCACGCAGGCGCCCAGGGATGGCTGCAAAGACACAGTGCCCGGGGTTGGTACAGAGTGGAGCGGGAGAATTCCAGGAATCTCAGCACAAGCAGGACCGAAACATACACCAGGTGACACAGCAAGCCAGCTCAATGCCTCACCCTAACCCTGCTAGAACCCAGGACCGGCCTAGCAAGAACTCAGGCTTCTTGGAGTCCTAGAGCCCAAGAAACACTTCTCTCCTGTGGCTTGCTGTGCTGGGCTCCAAGAGAGTGGGGAGAGCAATTGTAGAAGTAATACTAACAATAAAGCAAACTCTTGTGGAGTGATTCCCCGGCTATAAACTGTTCTTACATTCATCTCTTTCACTCCTTATTCCAACACCGTTATTGGAGCGTTATTGGGCCATTTTGCAGATGAGGAAGCTGAGTCTCAGAGATTACTTTCCTTGCCCAAAATCACACAGGTGGGCTTTCCCAGGACTGAAAGCAGGTGGAGCAGGAATGCAGTCAGGTGGCCCAGCACCCCCGGAGTTCCCAGGAGTGGGGTGCCTGCTCCTCTCCATCCCCGAAATTGCCCTCAGCAGCAGGGCCAGCCCACTTACCTGGAAGCGGCAGGCTCGGTGGGCAGTGCCTGCCGCGTGTGTGGCATGCAGCCGGGCACAGGGCAGGCTGCCAGGCCCCGGCGGCCAATCCTGCCCTCTGAGGTGGAACAGGACCCGCGCACAGGGCTGCGCTGGAGTCACGGCCGCTTCCACTGAAATGGCCCGCACGTCCCACGGAACTGGCCGTTGATGAGGTTCAGTGACCCGAGGAGGGACCACCTGGAGGGAGAGTGAGGCGTGACCAAGCAGCAGGAGACAGGAGTGAGATCTGGGAAAACGGGATGCCAGGCTTCTAACCCCAGGTGGGCAGGAGAGAACCTCTATGGGTGCCAGCTTCCCCTTCTGGGTAGTGGGAGCACGGGTGACCCTGGGAGCCCCTCCCCTTTTACCTGCTGAGTGGCAAACGGCGGGTAGGAGGCCCGGAGAAGTGGCTGGGCCCTGGGCCAGGGCTGTAGGAGCAGAAAGGTCTCAGATCGGGAGCCCAGAGAGGAGTTGGCAGGTGGGTAGCGGCCCAGCTGCTGCACACGGAAGTGCTCAGGGGCGTCCAGGAGCTCCAGGGCTGCTGGCAGGTACACTGGGTCTGGGGGGTCCTGGTCACAGCCCACTGAGGGGGATAAGGGGTAGAGACAGGGTGACAGTTCCAGAGCTGGCAGGGGCTGCACTGAGCTTCGTCCTGGGGCAGTGACGGTGGACGGCGGAGGAAAAGGACCGTGTGTCCCAAGCCCCCAGGATGTGGTGGTGGTGGGAGGTGACACTCGCGTTTCACAGGTGATGTAACTGAAGATCGCAGAGCCTCATGTGGCTAGCATGTGACACAGTCAGGGTTTGGATCTGAGTCCAGGACTGGATGCAAGCTTCCGAGCCACTGCTTCTGCCATCCACAGACCTGGGCCTCCTCCCTCCAGCAGAGCCTTCTCGGCGTCTGCTCCTCCCCATTCCTGCCCCCTTCCCACCTGTCTCTGGTTCTCTCCCTGGGGCAGGGTCTATGCAGGAAAAGATGGCGAGGAAGTGGGCTTCGTAGAAGCAGACACCCTTTCTCTGCACCTGGGTCCCCGATCTGACTTGGCTGGGCATCCTCTCTTCCTCCCCCCATGGCATCACCATAGCAACCCACCCCTTCTTCCCTGCCCTGACTGGGTAGTGGAGTCCAGGAGTGGGATGGGAGGGGTGCAGGAGAGGTCTGCAAAGTCACTTGCCTGTCCTGGGTTTGGGGTGGGAACTGCCAGTCCCAGGAGGGAGTCAAAATAGTCCCTCCCCAGAGGAACAGCTGGCTGCACTGGTCAGTACTAACCATTAGCCCTAATCATAAAAACAGGCCTTTTTTGAACACTAACTGTAGGCAGGTACTATTTGAAACATTTCACATGTGTTGGCTCTTCTCTTTTTCCTATTAACTCAGTGAACCAGGTTCCACTTCTGTTAATCCCTCTGAGGCTGTCAGACAGGGTAGCTGCTGTGAGCATGGAGGCTGGGAGCCAGGAATTAACCACTAGACTACCCTGCCTCTCCCTCCACCACCTCTCTCTCCACCCTGCAGGCTTCACCCCTCTACTGCGCCTCCCTCCTCCTTCAAGTCCAAGAGTGAATGCTGCCTCCTCCAGGAAGCCCCTCTTGGTGATGCACTTCCCCAGTCCCCTGGGTCTTTGTCCTCCAGGAAGCCCCTTCTGGTGATGCACCACCCCCCACCACCCCAGTCCCCTGGGTCCTTGCCACTCAGGTTGCCGCCTCTGGATTAATTATCTCCCTGTCTATCAACTAGGGACCTCAGCTTACTCATCCTGGAATTCCTCAGGCTGGACCTGAGTTTAAGTCCTAGCTCTGGCCACTCATTGCCACCTGGGAGCCTGTCTCCTCACCTGTAGGACAGGCCCCTGGAGACCCTGTGGCAGGGAGGGCTCTGCACAGGCTGCCTGGAGGAGAGATTACCGCAGTTGCCTAATGGATGTGCCCAGGCGCTCCTCCTCTTTATGGCAGGGGTTATCAGGGCTCCCGTCGGGTCCCCGGGGTGGAGAGCAGGTGGCTGAAAGCAACCCCAGAGCCGGCCCCACAGCTGGACTGCGGGTGGGATGGGAACTGGGTTTCAATCTCCTCCCTGGCTCTCCCCCAAGGAGTCTGCGTCTGAGATGCTCCCTCTGCCCCGTCCCCGTAGAGCCTAACAAGTGAGTGACTCCTGCTCCCTGGGGTAGCCCCTGGCCTCCCGTCCTCCTACTCCATTGCCTCTATAATTACCAGAGGCTCTGCAGCGCGACTCCCACGGACTCCCATCACCCAGAGCTCAGCTCCGGCGGATGGGGGAAGGACGGCAGAGCACGTCTCACAAGCCCCCCTGTTCCTTAGCATCATTCCCTTTGCTCCCACCCATGCCACCCCCAGGGCCGACCCTCACCCCCAGGCACAGGGGAGGTGCTGTGTCCCCTTCCCCCAGTGACAGGAACCCCCGCCAGGTCTGAGGAAGGCAAGAATGAGGCCGTCCCTGGAGACTCCAAGGTCGGAGAGCTCTTGGGGCAGGGGGCGGGGGCTGCCTCTCTTGCAAGTCCCCCCGCACAGGGACTGCGTTCCATTCCGGAGGAGGGTGGGCTAGTGAGGGCAGGAGGGATGGGGCCACGGAAGCGAGTCCTGCACACCACAGACGAGCGGGCAGTGGAGACGCTGGCGCGCCCGGGACAGGGGACGCGCCGCTGGGTGCCCCGGCTGGAGCGGGCGCTCGCGGAAGGTGCGGGGACCGGAGGAAAGCCCCTGAGCCAAGCTGGCCTCCGTCAGGAGTTGTCGGGGTGTGCAAAGTGAAGGAAGCCATAGAGGCAAGCGGCCCGGGTCAAGTTACCGGGGTCGGACCTCGACAGCCCTCGGGGTACGCTGCGAGGTGACTTCGCGCTCGGTTCAGCCAGAGACCCCGCAGGCGCCCGGCTCCCGGACAGCACTCCCGCCCGGCCTCGGCCCGGGCCCGGCCGCCCCTCGCCCCGCCCCCCTCCTCCCCTCCCGCTGACCTCTCAGAACGTCCAGGGCCAGGGCCACCAGGAGGCAGAGCCAGGGACCGTAGGGCCCCCGGGGGGCCGCTGCTGCGCGCCCCGCCATCGCGGTGCACATCCTTCCCACGGAAGGCGGGGACTGGGCGGGCGGCTCAGGTGGCCGCGGTCCTGCCGGGCATCTCTCACGCCCGCTCCGCGCGGGCCCTGCGCGGCCAGCTGGGTCCCTGCCGCCGCCCGCCCGCGCGCCCGCCCCGCGGCTGCAGTTCCCAGACAATGGAGCGGGAGCTGTGTGGAGGGAGGGAGCGCCGCGCAGCACATGGGCTGCCCCCTCCGCCCCGCCGGGTCCTAGTGCCCTGCGGATCCCAAACCCCAGAGCGCCACCTGGTCCGAGGTCGGGAAGAAAGCCGCTCTTCCCAGGGGACGGACTCGCCTCAGCCAGGAGGGACACGGGGTGCTCCTGCTGCGGGGGCTCCCTCTCGGAAGCTCTCGACCACGGAGGGAAAAGCCGCTTCCTCCGCCTCACTGCCGCTCCACAAGCAGCTCACCTGTAGAGGCATCTGACTACCAGAATTCAGACCCATGGGAAGGGAGCAGAAGGGGGGTGGGAGGGGGTTAAACAGGGCCAGATGACACCACCGGGCCTGCCCAGACAGAGCGCTGGGCCACCTCTGGGAGGAAAGGCCCCAGGCGCAGCCACTCCAGTTTCCCAGCTGCACCCAGGCGGGGAAGAGGCCTGGGGGTTCTGCAAGAGTGAGGGCTGGTCCAGCCCCCCCCCCCCCCCCCCCCGGGAAGGCCTGCAGCAGGGGCCCTGCCAGGCAGCACTGGGAGAAGTCCTGAGCAAGGGCTGTGGCTGCACACTGGCACACTGTGGTACTGTAGAGACAAGAATCATGCGTGCATGCCCGAAAAACTGCTCCAACCCCTGGGCCCGTTGAGAAGCCTGGTATGAGAAACCTCGCCCGGGCTGCAGCACTCCAGCACCCTCCCCCAGCCCTAAACACAGCAGAAGTGCTGTAAGCAGGATTGCTCACTCCTGGCGAGAAGGTACCCAGGCCTGCCTGCCCTTCGGGCTCCTGGCTCCCTCCAGGTCTACCGGCTTCACACTGCCCCTACAGGCACGGGGCCAGAAGGCAGAGCTGCACTACGGAAATGGATTCAGCAGTAGAGGGAGACCTCAGGGCAATCCAGACTTTGAGTAAATACATTTTATTCAGAACAAGATAATAAAATAGCGTGCACTTTATTTAAAACCAACCAAGCGCTGAAAAAAATATGCATCACTGCAGCTGTGATTCCGCATCAAACCCTAACAGTCAGAACGGGGCATTTCTTCTTCCCTCTGCGTGCCAGGCCGGGCAGAGGACACCCCCCTCCACAGGAGCCTCAGAGGAAGCAGTGGGCTCTAAGGACAGCAAGGCCCTGGTGGAGAGGTGTCAGCCAGCAGGCTGGCCCTGCTGCTCTTCCCGGGCTGCTGGGGTGGGCACTGATCAGCGACTGCCCTCGGAGCAGGAGCTCAGGCCTCCTTCCTGCACACAGGCCTGGGAAGCAGCTGAGGGGGAGTCGCGACGCTGAGGGGCTGCTCTCTTCTCAGCACAGAGCAGCCCCGTGCACTCTCCTGCACTCAGCATGGAGCAGGCAAGCAGAAGAGGGCCCTGCTGGCTCGGATTAAGGCACTTGTAACAGACTCCCTGTGCGTCCTCCCAGAGTCCCACAGGCCTCGGGGGGCCTGTTTCCCCCTTCCTCTACCCATGGCCTCTGCCTCTCCCCCACAGCTGGGCAATGAGGAGGACGGGAGCAGGCCTTCAGGACGTTCAGGGCTGGAAGGAAGAGAACAATGGGAACAGGCTGGGGCTTGGCAGAGGAGGAGCTGCAGAAGGCCCGGGAGCCAGAGTGGAAGGAGGAAGCCAGGCAGCAGCAGGGGCAGCTGGTTAAATCACCAGAGACTAATGGCAGTGATGTCAGCTGAGAGCAGATGCAGAAGCCAGAGGGGGAGGCCACTACAACCTGCCCTGGCTGAGACGGGCTGGAAGCAGAGAAGGGGTGGAGAGAGCCAGCCCCAGACAGAGAACCTCGGAAGACACAGGAATGCTCTTCCCTTCTCAGGGGGCTCAGAGACAGAATGGGGCAGAGGGCGGAGGGCAGGCAGGCGAGCCAGGAGCAGCTCTGCTCTTTGGTATGACGAAGGTGGCGCTGTGAGGCATCCGTCTCATTCCTCCTCCACGCTCCGGGCACCCTTGGCAGCTCGCCGCTGCCTCCAGCGCAGCTCGTCCACCTGGCGCTCCAGCCCTCGCACCTTGGCCTCCAGTTGGGCCCCCGAAGCCCGGCTGCCGGTGAGCCGGCTTAGCAAGGCGTACAGGGTCAGCAAGGCCAGGAGGAGCAAGGCCCGGGTGGAAGGATCGGGCACTGACCTCACCAGGGCCACAAAGCCGGCCAGGAAGATGACAAGCTTCAGGCCCCCCAGGATGCGCCCCAGCACGGCCAAGACCAAGCCGAGGAGCAGGGACAGCAGCCAGTAGACGACCAGGGCCCCTGCTCCCCACAGCAGGAAGGTCTGGACCTGGCTAGGGCTGAGCTTCAGGCCCTGAGTGAGGTGATCACCTGGAAGAGAGGAGAATCACAGCATCAGGCAACCTGGAGAGGCGAGACAGGGGGAAGGGGAGCAGGAGGCTAAGAAGGAGGCACTGAGCCCCTGGCAAAGGATGATCTTGTTCTCCCAGACTCCCAGGGACTTGGGTTTGAATCTTAGCTCTGCTACTTGCTGGTTGTGGGGACAATATTTCTCTGTGGGGACAATATTTCTCTGTGTTGAGGCTCAGTTTCATTCATTAAGTGGGGTCAATTCGACCTGTTCCCCTGGGCTGTGGTAACAGCTAAAGGAGCTGCCACGGCTTCGCATGATGTCTGCCATGAATAAACAAACCCCTATGGTGGTAGTCGTTGGCCAGCCCTTAAGTCACACCTCTGGGGGAACCTGGGTGGTGTCAGGCAGCTGGGGCAAAGATCTAGGCCCTGGCAAAGATGAACTCCCACAAACAAGAAAGTGCAGGGAAGCCCTGGCTGGCCGGCCAGTTCTCTGCCACTCACCGTCGAGCCCCAGGGCAGTCAGCAGCTGGGCAGCGATCCCAGACAGGGCAAAGAAGGCCACGGAGATGGCTGATGAGATGGCCCACATCACCTGAGACAGGGTCTGGGGAAACAGCACAGGTGAGACGAGTCCAGAACCAACAACACTTCTTTCCTCCAAGCCAGGCCACCACTGCCCAGGCCAGGCTGCGGGAATGTGTCCGGTCTGTTTCGTGACCAGTGGTGATGGGCCTGGGTCAGAGGTTTGGAGGCCCTGGGCCTGGCTGAAGGGGCCCTTCCACATCCACCTTCCCGTACACAGGGATGGACAACCGGCATTTCTTCTTCCTGAGCTAGATCACAGGACATGTGGGACCTACACAACCAATCTGCTGGATAATTTGAAGGTAGCAGTAGGTATACTTGTGTCACCTGTGTGTAAACAGGGCCAAGGGGTGTCAACAAATCCCTTTATGAGTCACCCTACAAAACTGGGGTCCTCTTAGTCTTCCAGGGAATCAGGAAGGAGTGTGAAAGACATCTGCAGGGCCAGCACTGTGGCGTAGTGGGTAAAGCCACTGCCTGCAGTGCCAGCATCCCATATGAGTGCCGGTTTGAGTCCTGGCTGTTCCACTTCCGATCCAGCTCTCTGCTGTGGCCTGGGAAAGCAGTAGAAGATGGCCCAAGTGCTTGGATCCCTGCACCCATGTGAGAGACCCAGAAAAAGCTCTAGGCTTCTTTCTTCAGATCTGCTCAGCTCCAGCCATTGCGGCTATTTGGGAGTGAACCAGTAGATGGAACACCTCTCTCTCTCTGCCTCCGCCTCTCTGTAAGTCTGCCTTTTAAATAAATTTTAAAAAATCTTAAAAGAAAGAAAAGCATCTGCAAAGGGCTAAGACACTGCAATAAAACAGGGGTCTCTCGTTAGTCCGTTATTAAGGATTTTACAGTTGATTATCTCAGTCCCTCAGTATGATCAACCAAAAGGACATGGCACCAGGTTTGTGATGCCGTTAGGTAGGAGATGACCCTGAGTGATGCCCTGATCAGCCCACATCTACAGGTAAAGGAATGAACTCAGTTCTTGATATTTTTGCCTCCTCATGACTCAGAACAGGGACAGGGCGCCGGCACTGCAGTCAGCAGGTTCAGCTGCTGTCTGTGATGCCAGCATCCCGTAGAGAGAGCGGATTTGGTCCTGGCTGCTCCACTTCTGATCCAGCCGCCTAATAATGTACCTGGGGAAGCAGCAGCTGGTTGCCCATGTACTTGGGCCCCTGCCAACCAACACAGGAGGCAGGATGGAGCTCTGGGCTTCTGGCTTCGGCCTGACCCAGCCATGTGGGGAGTAAACCAGAGGATGGAAGATATCTCTCTCTCCCTCTCCCTGTCTCTCTGACTCTGCCTTTCAAATAAATAAATAAACCTACAGCTTTAGAGCAAAGTCAGACTCTGCAGTCACCCAGGGACATGGGCTTACAAAGAAAGGCCAGGAGCCAGAGAAAGATGGGCCCAAGGGTAGGAATCAGACAATAAGGAGGCGAAAGACAGGTGGTGTCGGCTGCCTCTAGTGTGAATCTGGGGCTCTCTGTAGCAGGGATTATGACGCAGGAAGGCTGTGAGGTCATTCACCACATCTCTTCTACCTTTCCCTAATGGGCAGTCACAGCAGGGACTACTTTCCTTACCTCTGAAATCAGGTGCATGGTTTCTGGCCCAATCCAGGTATCCAGTGTTTCCCGCACAGACCGACCTATCTGGGTCAGGAGGTCAACTGGAGCCTCCCTCCTCTGCTGACCTGGAGGTGCAAAGTCTCGATGGGACTGGGCCAGTGCTGAGTGAAGGAGGACGAGGGCCACTAGCACCATCAGGACGGCGTGGAGCAGATGCTTGCCCCATGGCGCGCTGCTGCCCGAGCCTGCCATACTGGGTCTGTCAGGAAAGAGACAGAGGGGGAGCTGAAGCCAGACCTGGCAAACACACCCACTCCCCTGGCTCCGATTCACCCCCGCACCCTCCTCCACCCCTACCCAGCAAGCACCTAAGCTAAAGCTAGAAGGGAGGGGCTGTTAGCTGAGAAAGGAAGCACTGGGACTTCTAGCTTCAGAGGGGCACAGTCATCTGATTCGCAGGTTCCTCTTTCACATTCCCTGCCACTCACGCAGCTAGGGGGCATTAGTCAATGCCTTCAAAGGCACGCTAAGATCTCTCTATGGCATATTCCAGTTCTAACAATCTGAAGGCCTCTGCGTTAGGTGCTATGGGCATGCAAGAATTTTATAAGCCTCTAAGACTCTCTCCCAAGGAGGCGCATAATCTACTTAAGATAAAGCTGATATAAAAAGCCACTTGGACCAGCACAAGGTAGGATTATCACCGTACAATGGGGTAAAGAAAAGTGCTCGGCTGTGTGCTCAAACGAGAATAACTGGGCATGTGCCGGTGGCCCCCGCAGGACCGTCACCCGAGGTGGCTGTTATCCTCCTCACCCAATTGGTCCAAATAAGAAAACTGAGCCTTAGACATTAAGGTCACTGGGCTAAGAAGTAGAAAGGCCAAGATTGGAATCCAAGCTTTAGCTTCCAAATCCCAAACTCACTGGAAGTCAAGGTACAAGGGGCTGCTCACTGGGATCACCTAGCAGCGTCACAAAGTTCTCAGATAGCCACTCCCCAGCGTCTACGAGGCACTGGGTCTCGGACCCCATACCAAAATCCACATTCATTCAAGTCTCTTGCACAGAATGGCATAGAATTAACACACAGCCTATGCACATCCGCCTAGCTCCTTCACATCATCTTCGCATTTCTTATAATGCCTAATGCAATGCAAACGCTACATAAATAGTTGTTATACTGCGTTGTTTAGGGACAAATGACAAGAAAAAAGCTTATACTTGGACAGTACGGACACAGTTTTCTCAAATCTTTTTATTAGTAGTTCGTTGAATCCACTGATGTGAAACCCATGAACGTGAGGCCAACTGTACTGATGTCTCCATCCCAAACCCAGAGGTGTTGGCATGACTGGGGGTGGGCTAGGCTCAGCCCAGCAAAAACTCTCCAGGGCTTCCACTGTACAAAGTCGAGACCCACTCTGAGGGCACAGGAAAACAAACTCAGCTTCTCCTACACTCTCACTCAACAACCCAGAAGACTTGTGTGACCAAATGTGTTGGGAGGTTCCTGCACACACCAAGCAGGCAGTGTGCCATGGAGACCAGCTGGGAGTCCTCTCAGTTCACTTCAGACACCATCCACCTGGAGATAATGTCACATCCCGATGGCAAGCCGAAGACTCGGTGCCCAAGACGACACACACCACCCCCCAACTTCAGATGCCAATCGCCGCTCCCCAGGTTGCTTTGCCTGTGTTTCTGACCCACTGGCTGGAAGCTGGGGTTCCCACAGTCCCCTCCTGGGATTGGACTAGTTTGCTAGAGCAGCTCACCAAACTTAGGCAAACATGTACTTACATTCACCGGTTTGTTATGAAGATAGTACAAAGGATACTGAAGTGTGGGACAAGGGACTCTCCAAAGGGCTACCCTTCAGGAATCTCCATGGGACTGGCCCTCTGGAAGCTTGCTGAATACAGTGCTGTCTGGATTTGCATAGAAGCTGCTGTGTGTAAGCATGATCAACCAAGTCATTGGCCACTGGCAATCAACTCGACCCTGAACCCACCTCTTCACCTTGGAGGTTAGGGAGTGGGGCTGGAAGTTCCAATCCCCACCCCACCCCCAGCCCAGATTGGTTCCAAAAATTGCCTCATTAACCTAAGCTCAGGAGTGTTTGAAAGGGCTTGCTTTGGACTCTTTCATCACTGCTCTGCAGCTGTTGCAAGCCACAAGGACAAAGAACAAATATTTTAACAAAAGACACCCTTATTGTTTTATTCACTTAGGAAATAGGCTATGGGAACTGTGAGCCAGGAACTGTGGATGAAATCCAAAAAGCTGTGAGTGTGTATGTGTGTCTGTGTATGTACATACATATATATAATATCACAACCACAGACAAATGTTCTCAACTGCCCACTCCCAGTGCAGGCAAAGGCTTAAAAAAGATGCTATGAAAGGTAACACTTGCTGCTGGTGCTGTGGCATAGCAGATAAAGCCGCCGCCTGCAGTGCTGGCATCCCATATGGGCGCCGATTTGAATCCTGGGTGCTCCACTTCTGATCCAGTTCTCTGCTATGGCCTGGGAAAGCAGTAGAAGATGGCCCAAGTCCTTGGACCCCTGCACCTGCTGGGAGACCCAGAAAAAGCTCCTGAATCCTGGCTTTGGATTGGCACAGCTCTGGCCATTGCAGCCATCTGGGGAGTGAACCAGCGGATGGAAAACCTCTCTCTCTGCCTCTCCCTCTCTCTCTGTATAACTCTGACTTTCAAATACATAAATCTTTAAAAAAAAAAATAACATGAACTTGACAACTAGCGACTTACTGGTGGAAAGTCACCTCCCCACCCTGTGTTCTGGTCTCCTGGGCAACGCGAAGCCGTGAGTTAAGACCCGACAAGTACCGACCCATTGAAGGAGGTGAGGCTCTGCCAAGAACAGCGTTTGCAGGTCCACCTCCATCTGCCTCCACGCTTGAGAAACATCATACAGCACCGGCAAATCCCTGTCCTCCTCCAGGCTCGCTCCAAGGAGTTCCCACGACTCAGACCTGGAGCTTGAAGCCACGCCTCTGAAGCAGGGGCCGCCAGGTGCTCGAAGTTTTTGCAGTTTCCAAGGCACACAGGGAGTTGGGCAGAAATCCAGAGCCATTGGGATGGCAGAAGAGGGAGAGGGAAGAGAAATAGCTTCTCCTTTTTGCTTAGTGGAAAGGAGGAGGGTCCAAGAAAGAGTTCTAAAAATACGACTTTGGGGCTACTTTCTGGCCCTGAAACAGCTGCTTCCAGCCGCTCCTGAGGCCTACGGGACCGAGCACGGCTGTGAGACATACAGTGCATGGTGGAAAGAGCTCAGGCAGGGCCAGCCAGCCACTCTTTCTGGCACAAATGCAGAACCAGACGGTTCTTGCCTGCCAGTGGTGGGAGAAGGGTGAAGGCGTGGTCAGTTCCTGAGCTATCTGGGTCACAACCGCGCCGAGCCTTAAAGAGCAGGGCTGCTATCTTGGGTTGGATCCCTCATCCAGGGACCTCCACCAGGAGGAATCGGGTGTCGTGTCCTCCCTCCTGGAAGGTCAGGGTGACGTGTGCGCCTCCTCCCACGGCAGCCTGCTGCATTCCGGGCCAGCTTCAACTCCCAAGGGGCAGGGGGACCTTGAAATAAACCCTCCACAGCGAGGCTGGCATGGGCGGAGCCGCTGACTGTCTTTAGTGCATCAGAAACCAAATGCAGGATTCAGGAGCGGGGAGAAGGCACGTGCGGATGACCAGCTGGTTTGTTTCTTCAAATCACTTCCCTTAGCAGGACTCCTTCTCATTTCTTACAGGTTAATCCCATGTAGTGTGAAATCCGACCCACCACGGATGCCTCCGCACCTGAGCCACATCAATCGCTTTTAATAAAGAAAAGAGGCCGTGGCAATCGAGCAAAAGCAGCTTTGACTTGTGAGAGTCCGAGGAAGCATGTCTCACCCTTTCTCACCTCCTGTGATGCCTGGCCCCAAACAACGGACACTCAACAACAACCAGTAACACACACACACACACACGGATACTTCAAAAACCTTACGGGCAATGGAATTAAAGCAAAAAGCTTTTTGGTGAAAAATGTTTTTTAATAATATGTGGAAATTTACAAGGGAAAAAAATATGCCGGCAGTGCCAGCATCCCATATGGGCGCCGGTTCAAGTCCTGGCTGCTCCACTTCTTGTCCAGCTCTCTACTATGGCCTGGAAAAGCAGAAGACTGCCCAAGTCCTCAGGTCCTTGCACCTGTGTGGGAGACCTGGCGGAAGCTCCTGGCTCCTGGTTTTGGATAGACACAGCTCCGGCCTTTGTTGCCAATTAGGGAGTGAACCAGAGGATGGCAAACCTCTCTCTCTCTATGCCTTTCCTTCTCTCTGTGTAACTGACTTTCAAATAAATAAATAACTCTTTTTTCTTAAAAAAAAAAAGGGGGGGGGATGTGTGTTATGAAAAAAAAAAACTACATATGGATTTTAAAAGAGTTCCTGCAGCAAAATAAACTCATATTTTAAACTCCATTTTCCAGGAATTTTTGGAAGTACCCTCATATACGCAAGTTGTAATTTTGGTGGGGTGCTTTCTAATTAACAAAGTGCTTGTTTCTTCACCACCTCTCTTGAACTCTTACAACAATTGTGTAGGGTATTATTACTCTATTTTACTAGAAAAGTATGGCTCAGAGAGACCAAGGGACTTCACCAAGGTCAGCCAGTTAACTCCTGAACTCCCAGGATCTGAACCTTGTCTTTTAGCTCATCCTGCACCTGCACACTGCCCAGGTTAAGACACAGTCCTTACCCTGGAGGAGCTTAAAATTCTGCTCAATACCAACAAGTGCAAAGTGGGAGGATGCCCACACATCCCAGGAGATGCCCCACCTGCTGGGTGGCAATATGGCTCAGGCAGGGCCAGAAGAACCGGCTGCTTTCGAAAAGGCACTATATGTTTAGCTGTGGTTTGCTACAAGGCTAGGGTGGGGCAGTCCACACCACCCCCGCCCAGCCTGCCTCCTTCCTCCGCTTTGCTTTCTGGCTATGAATCACCCCACAGCAGGAGGGGCGATGACCTAGTGCCCTCTGCTGGACCTGATGGTCCCACCGCTGCTCCCAGCTGTTCCCGTGCAGCCGGCGCTCTCATCCCGGATGCCCACCAGAACTGCCTCTGCAGACACGAGCCTGTGTCTGCTGCACCCAGGGCGACTCACTCACACTGTCCCAGAGAGAGGGGCTCGGCCTTCCATTTTTAAAGCACCTCGGGGATTTCCAATGCATAACCTGACAGCTGCCACAAATGATCAGCATGGCAGGGAGGGTCTATTCTGGGCAAAGCCGCCAAAGCACAGCAGTGAACAAAGGACTCCAGACTTCCGTCCCAGGCTCAGTTCTGCCACAAACGGCAAACCACTACCTTTATGCTGCCTGTTATTAGACAACCCGGGACGCCTGGACCGTAAAACGGGGCGCAGGCAAGGCAAGAATTGCTACAAGGTGAAGATGTCCCCGCAGGCACCTGGTCAACTGGAAACATCTACAGAGGCATCGCAGCAACACACTCACTATGGCGTAGCACAATTTAGCAGTTTGTTGGCACTGAGCACCTCCCAGACTTGACAGCTAACTCTTCTTGCAATCCCCAGCGCCCAGCACAGAAAGATGACTAATAAATGTTTGTTAAATGAATATTCGAGGCCCGCCAAGAAGCTGCGAGAGTAAAAAATAAAGAGACATGAAGAGGCGGGGAGAGGGGCGGTTATTTTAACAGCTGATCCAAATACCCAGCAGTCACTGGAGAAGCACAGCTGAGTGCAGAGGAAGCCCCTAAACCGGGCGAAGCCGCCCCGGAGGAGAACGAAGTCAGCGCCCTGGCAGGTCGGGGGCAGCCGCCGCTAAGCCCCTGACAGCTGCCGCCCGGCAACTGTCTGGGGGCAGGGCGGCGGCAAAGGGGGCAGCTTCCCAGGCGCGCCGCGGCCTCCCCGAGACAGGGTGTCAGTCGCATGTGCTATTTCCAACAGCGCGTCCCCTGCCAAGCGCTGCAGGGTGGCGTCGTCGCTGGCCAGGGACGTGGCGCGGCCCGCGAGTCTGGGGTACCCCGAGGGGCTCGAACCAAAGCCGCGGGGGGCTCGGCCGTGGGGCAGCGGCCGCAGACGCTCAGGTTCACCGCCGACCTCCTCGCCCCAGCCCGGCAGCTGCTCTGCCTGCACTGGACCTCCGAGCCGCGGCCGAACCCTCTACTCCTCGGAAACGCGCGCTTCCCGGGTTACCTAGTAACGACGCCCCCGGTTGCGTAGCAACGAGATCCGGGTCCCCAGTTTTCTCGGCCCGCCGCGCGACGTCGGACCCCTCCCCAAGCTGGCTCGTCAGGCCTCGCTGCTCAACCGTGACCACGCCTGCAGCAGCTGCCGCCTCCCGGCCCCGCATGCAGCCCCCGCAGTCCCAATCTCGGCCTGGACTCACCGGGCTCTGGCCACCGCTACCCTTCACGTGCGACTTCGCTACAACGCGCCACCAAAACCGCGCCTCAACTCCGGGGCGTTGGTTTACGGTCTGCGCGTGCGCAAAAGGCGGGATGAGCCTGGAGACGGGCCGGCCTCCCTCGCAGCCTGAGCTGGTGTCGTGGGCGCATGCGCCGGCCCCGCCACCCCCGCCAAGCACAGCTACAGAGAAAAGAATGCGATCGGAAGTTTAAGGTGGGGACGGAAGTCCCCGGCAGGAAAGGGAAAGGAGGCCACTATGGCCTATAGAGTGGGTAAACTGGATCTTTGAAATGGAGTGGAAGCCACTCCGCCTCTTCCAGTGCTCGTCATTTTGAGCCCTCCGGAGCTGCGGATGGTCTCCGCCCCCCGCCCCAGGGCACTGTGGGAAATGTAGTTCTCAGCAAGGACGCGCCGGGGCACCCGGTCTTCCTAGAAACTTTTCGCGCTAAAAGCATAAAGGGAAAAGATGTTGGAGGATCAGATAGAGGCACAGGAAGCTGGAAAACGCGTGTGCTACCTCAAGAGCGCAGACCCTCTCCATCACTCTGCAGATGGCTCTGAAATGCCTGCTCCGAGTTTTAGAAGGAAGGGAACTGGCGCCCTTCACCCCGTTTTCTCCACAGGGGCAGCACCATAAAGGGGGACCCACCAGGGATATGGAATAAGCTGATGACTCGCCCTCTTTGTGATCCTGGCCACGTCGCTTCACCTCTATAGGCCCGAGTTACTGGGCTTTAAAGAGCTGTCAGGCACCAAAAATGCCACTTCATACTAAAATGTGACGTGTCCGAGAGACCAGCAGCGACTTTCACGCTAAGATGTGACGTTTCAGAGACTAATGGCAACAGCAACAAAAAAAAACTAACTTGTTGTCTATTCTAGTTTGAATTGATTTGGTACCAGAACCCATGCGGGTCTTTAAATCCCAAAGTCATATGTTAATGGCATTTAGAGAGTGGGCTCGCAGGGCCTTTGGGAAGTGGCGTGTTTGGTCATGGCACAGCACCCATGATTGCTAGTCCTGGTGACTTTATATGGATAGAGACAGAGAGATAGGCACACATGCTCCCTCACAGTCTCCTGCCATTGATGCCCTGTGCCCTTTCTGGACCCCGCAAGAAAGAATACATCCCCAGAGGCCGAACCAATGGGGCCTGCCTGATCTTGGCCTGCGAACCTACAAAACCGTGAGCCAAAACAAACAAACCCCTTTCTTTTTTAAAGTTAATGATGCCTCAGGTATTTTGTTATAGCCATGAAAAATTGACTAATATGCTGAATGTTTTCTGATTACCATTGCTGGCTGCCACAGGACAGCTTCCCTTTAATCTTAAGAGCCATCCTCAAACTGAACCCTCTAAAAGGAAACTCGCCTCCCCCAACCCCATCAGCCTTCTAATTCTGCCTTCCTCCCAGAGCACACACTCTAGCAGCTCCCAGTCTGTCACCTTTCCCAGTTGTTTCTTTCCTTCAGATGCTTCTCAGGCTCATCCATCTTCATCTGGGCTTACTACTTCCTGTCTACAAGCTAAGAATCTTCCAGAACTGGCTTGGGTAGCAACCTGGGTCTCACCTTCCAGCTTTTCTAACAGTCACAACTTTATATTTGCATACGACATCATTCCTGATTCCAATCTCAGGTCACACACTCTCTGTGTGAGAAATGTCACTTTTTTCTGTGACAAATTCTTTGCAACTCTATTTTTCATCTGGATGGTAGAGGCACTCTCAGTGCAGGGCTCTGTGTAATTAACATGGTTTTTCTCCTGTTAATCTACTGTTGATTTATTTCTTAGACTCAATTATTTTACCTTCGGAGGATACAGAGAAAGTTTTTTTCTCCTCTACACCCTGAAACCTTTCTATTCCCTGAGGGGCTGGAAACTGAAAACCTGGATAGGATCCTCTTTTTCTTGTATTCTTCTGTCATAGCCATAAGATCCCCAGTATAGGGACACACCTGGCTTTGCTCACTGTGGTCTCACCAATGCCTAGTGGCTACCTGGCATACAAAGCTACTCAGTAAAGACTTGTCCAATAACTAGTTACTGGGCAGCTGTGTTTTCTGTTTCCATAACAATACACAGACTGGGTAACTTACAGAGATTTTTTCTGAGGCTGGGAAGTTCAAGAGCTTGATGAGGGCTGCATGATGACAAGGTAGAGGTCATCACATGGCAAGACAGAGTAAGCATGCCAGCAAGAGCAAGAGGGCACAAGACTGCTTTTATGACATTAGCCTGTTGATCCATTAACCCATGACCTGATTTATCTATTCATGTGGACAGAACCCCCCAAGTCCCACCTCTCAACACCGCAGCTTTGTGGACTGTATTCTACCATTCTAACCCAGCCAGCATCTTCCAGGGGAGACTTCTGGAAGTGTGGTTATCATTTCATAGTTTCAGTGAAAGCAAATAGTGTTCTGCTGTCAGCCCAATCAAGTCTAACCACGTCAGGTTCAAGGCTCCACCTAAACCAATTCATCTTATTTCCTGCCACACATCCAGTGGCTTGAGATGCCTGGCCTGCCAGTCTGTCAACAAGCAGCACTATTAGGAAGTTCCTGCTGTGTGCCAGGCTCTGTGTGAGAGTGAGAGTGAGAGTGACCAGAACATGCCACCGTGGAACTCATAGTCTAGCTGAGAACTCAGACACAGAACAGACACTTGTCAGTAAATCACTGAATGGTTGCTCATTGTTTTCAAACTGGCTTGAAGGAGAATTACAGGATGTTATGAGAACTAAACCTCAGGGGTCAAAAAAGGGGCTCCTTAGGAAGTGACATTTAAGGTGAGACCAAAATTGGCATCAGACACTTCAGCAGGGTAGGGAGCAAAGAAAGGGAGTTAAAGAAAGTGTTCCAGGCAAAAGTTCTGGAATTCGCCAGAGGGGGTATGTGTGGGGGCCTGAAAGGCTAATGTGGCTAGAGAGGTAAGATAAGCCAGATGCAGACAGACTTGGGGGCAGGTTTCCTCTCCAGGAACGCTCTCCCTCACTCATGGTTTCAGGACTGACTCCTGTCTCTGATGTGGGTCTCAGCAAAAACGTTACTTCCTCAGAGATGCAACTCCTCAACACTCTGCCTAAAGTAACCATCCTTCCAATCCCAGTACCGGCTGGCGCTGCGGCTCAATAGGCTAATGCGGCACCGGCACACCAGGTTCTAGTCCCCGTCGGGGCGCCGGATGCTATCCCGGTTGCCCTTCTTCCAGGCCAGCTCTCTGCTGTGGCCCAGGAGTGCAGTGGAGGATGGCCCAAGTGCTTGGGCCCTGCACCCGTATGGGAGACCAGGAGAAGCACCTGGCTCCTGCCATCGGATCAGCGCGATGCACCGGCCGCAGCCCGCCGGCAGCGGCGGCCAATGGAGGGTGAACCAACGGCAAAAAGGAAGACCTTTCTCTCTGTCTCTCTCTCACTGTCCACTCTGCCTGTCAAAAAAAAAAAAAAAGGCGCCAATCCCAGTACTTCCTACCTACCTTACTCTAATTAGTATTATTTATGTTTTAAGATTTACTTATTTAAAAGGCAGAGCAACACACACACACACACACACACACAGAGAGAGAGAGAGAGAGAGAGAGAGAGAGAGAGAGAGAGAATTCTCCTGGCTGACGCCCCACGTAGCTGTAACATCCAGGTCTGGGCCAAGGTTAAAGCCAGGATCTTCATCTGGGTCCCTCACATGGATGGCAGGGACCCAAGCAATTTGGCCATCTTCTGCTGCCTTGCCAAGTGTGTTTAGCAGGGAGTTGGATCTGAAGTGGAACAGCCAGGTCTCGAACTGACCTCCAATATGGAATGTGGTATCGCAAGAAGCAGCTTAACCTGCTACACCACAATGCTGCCTCCTCAAATCAGTTTTATTCACAACACTTTCTGATTGTCTGGGTGGCCCCTCTTCCCCCCGTATCATGTAAGCTTCAAGAGAGAGGAACTTTGTTGATTCACCTTTTCTGTCTCCATTTATCAAAACAGGGCCTGGCACACAGGTGGCCCCTAATCAATATGTGTTGAATGAATGAAAAGTCTGGGGAAAGATGTGAATAGATTTTTCTCTGAGTGGATTAGAAGGAGACCAGGCTGCAAGCAAGGAGACTCATCAGGATGCTATTTCATTTGTGTAGGGAAGAGATGCACTTTTCCTATACTAACTCATCGGAAACCCAGGGATTTGGTTCTGCCTAAGGACAAAAGTACAATGTCACTTAAAGATCTTAATTGGCTTTGATTTCCATTAGAGTCAGGCAACACTCCCACCAACAGAACAAAGGAAGTGTCCAAGGGTTTGGGCAGAGGAGGTTGGCTTCATGGAGTTGAAAACAAAACAGAAAGAACAAAATGTGAATTGGTAACCCACTTTCCTTGGAGGGCGGGGACAGGGAGACTGAATAAGGTAAAAAATGATGGATTCATCAGCACCAGGTGACTTCAGGTCACTGTTTGTAAGGACTAAAGCAGAGAGCTTATCAGAACCGTCATTATGCCTGCTTAGGGAACTTGCCCTGTTTAGGGACCACACTGGGTTGTTTAGGGAACATAGCTGTTATCTCGGTTTAGCAACTGCTTGAAAGATCAGATAACAATTCAGTTTGGGTTTGGCAACATGAACAGCCTCATCGTAAGGGCTTCCATCTGACCTGGTCCGTCAGGGTGCAGAGCAGAAGCCTCTGTGGTCTTCATGTTAAATATACCCTTTTCAGTAAAAATATAAAATCAGGAAGAAAAGAAACACCCTGGTTATCACTTCCTCTATTTACAGCCGAAGAAACAGAGGCGTAGAGTCCGTACCGTGGACCACCTGTGTGGAGCTGGCATTTGGGCACAGTTTGACTGTCGAGTCCACGCTCTTGGCCCCTCCACCATTAATTCTTCTCCCCAAGCCTGTGCTCACGCTGTTGCCCCTTCTAGAATACTCCATTCTCCTTCTTCTCTGACAATGCCCACCTGCAGAAGTCTTCGCTGACCACACCTGTCCGTCCTACGTCCTACACCTTTGTCTGCTTCCCTACGTGAATCTCGAGAATATCCCATCTTACTGATCCCCACGAAGAACCAGACACTATCCGAACTGCAAGGGACCTACAAGGACGAAGGGGCGGTGAAGCCGGCAACTTGTCTAAGACCACCGAGCAAACTGTGGTAGGAGTAGGGTCAGACAATTTCTTGGACAGTGTTCCTCTCCCTGTGCTTTCTTCACCAGGTCGGCCAGCAGTGTCTCTCAAAGGGCAGCCCAGAAAACACCTGCCTCAGAATTACGTGAGGCACTTTCAGACTTTCTAAGGCAGACCCGAGAAATCTACATGAGGAGATTCGAAAAGACTGCATTCCAATAGCTCAGTACAGAACGACTAGCCCTTTAAGTTCCCATTGCACTATGGGAAGTGTAGTTTCGGATCGCCTCTCCGCTGCTTGCCCCGCCCCTGAAGGCTTCACGGAAGAAGCCGAGTGAATCCGGAGATAGCCGATTGTCCCGGGGCGGGCTCTTTCCTGTGCCGTTGCATTCTGGGAAAGGGCAGTTTCCGTTAGGTGCTGAAGGCTGAGGCGCGCGACCGGCCACACTCCCACGTGAAACGCTACGCGGGCATCGCTCCGCGGGGTAGCTCCCTGCTTACCGCGGAGCGTCCGGAAGCAGCGGGGGAACCGGAAGTAGCCCGCAGAGACGCCGAAGGTAGACCCGGAGCCCGGAGTAAGGCGCCTCAGAGCGCTGCGTCGGCGCCATGTCCCTGATCTGCTCTAGTGAGTACTGGCCGCTGGCGATCTCAGGTCGCAGGAGGCGGGAGAGAGGAGAGGGCGAGTGTGCAGGCCGCTGCGGCGCCGGGGTCGGGCGGAGGCGGGAACGGGCCGCCTGTCAGCACGGGGTGCTCTGCCCCTTACGGCGGCGTGTATTTGGCGCAGTGTTGGCGCAGTTTACTTATCACCTCAGGTTTATTGTCGCAGGGGTCACTTGGGCCCACTGGGCAGGCCTGGGCAGAGGAGCTGGTGCAGGGGAAGCCGCCGTGGTGTAGGAGCCAGGAAACCTGAGGATTTGTCCAGCAGCAGCCTTCGATCGGCCTTGCGATGTGGCGCGAGACGCTGGGCCTCAGTTTCCCCGTCTGCGAGACTGAGAGCATTGCGTTGGGTCTCGTCGGAGGTCTCGCACGGATAGTTGGAGCCTCTGCAGTTTGCGAAGGTCACGCAGGGAGCGAGAGGCCGACGGGGCTGGAAGCCAGGTGTCCGACTCCCAGCCGCGCGCTGTGCATGACTGATAAAAAGAGCACACACATTGGTTTACAGCACGCTTCCAAGCCCACGATCTCGTTTTGTCCTCGCAGGAATTCCCTGCGGGAGGCGTACAAATGGGACTGTAGGGCTCGGGAGGAGTGGGGCTCCTGTGGAGGGGCACAGCCAGTGCCCGCGAGAGCTGGTTGATGGGGCCAGACTGACAGCGGACCGATTATTGTCTGGTGCAGACGACTAGGCCCAGGTAGTCACAGTGAACAGTGTCGCAGAGCTGCCTTGAAGAGATTAAGTGACCTCCTCTGCCCGGAGACCTTCGGCCTCTCCCGACGTGAGCCAGTCTCCCCTGAGTGATGAGATTCCAGAGGACGCATCCGTGATCCATGTATTTCTCTTGGAGAGCCTGTGTTGGGATAGATAAGGAATTCAGCGATACCTCCATTGCCACCACGCTTGGGTTGGGGGTGCAGAGAGAGAGGGGGCAAGAGACACTGAGCCTCAGCCTGCTTCTGGTTAGTCCAAAGTGTTGCCCATGCCGGACTGCCACACCTGGAGGTGCCCCCTCCTGAGCCCCGGCCCGCGTGCGCTCATCCCCCCAATTTGTTGGGTGCTGCAGGCGTCTGCGTTGGACTGAAGTCCCAGACGGGCTGTGCTCACTGCCCTTCAGGGGGGCACTGTCTCCCAGGGCAAGAATGTGTATGAGAACTGCTTGGAGGATGTTGGGGGGACAGGTGCGCCTGTGTGAAGTGCTTAGCATCCTGGCCGGCACGGAGTGAGCACCGTGTAAATGGTTCTGGTACCCTGGTGTCTGTCATGCTGCTGTGTAGTCCCTGTGTCTCCTGATCCAGTTAGGGTTGTGACTGAGGTGGATGGCAGCTGCCTGAATGGCTTCACACGCTCTCCAGGGTGTGGAGAGTAACTCTCTGGTGTGAGTCCCCAACTACCTGTTGAAAATGAGATGGCAGGGCTTATTGACTGCATGCTGGGTGCCCAGTGCATAGGAGCTGTGTAGTAGTTAATTTTTGACCACCCAGACTTTCAAGAGACCAATGGAGAAGCTAGATAGGTAGCTGGAGAACATTTAGGGGCTAGCCTAAAGCTGCCTTGGCATCATGTGCTTCCCCTGAGTTGAGTGGATGTGGGGACTTGTTGGGCTGGTGGCAGTGAGGAATCCCCTCGGCCCCAGATTGTCTTTCATCCCAAGCCTACTGCCTGCCTTTCTCTGCAGTCTCCAATGAAGTGCCAGAGCACCCGTGCGTGTCCCCCGTCTCTAATCACGTCTACGAGCGGCGGCTCATAGAGAAGTACATTGCTGAGAATGGTACAGACCCCATTAACAACCAGCCTCTCTCCGAGGAGCAGCTCATCGACATCAAAGGTGCCCGTTGGTCGGCCTCAGTGTGGGCCTCTTGGCTCAGAACCTGAGGTTGGGGTAGGGGGGTTGCCTGGGTTACAGGTTTTCACACCTGACTTTCCTCTCTTGGCAGTTGCCCACCCAATCCGGCCCAAGCCCCCCTCAGCCACCAGCATCCCAGCCATCCTGAAAGCCTTGCAGGATGAGTGGGTAAGTTCCTGGGAGAAAGCTGATGTCTCCCCCACTCAGAGAGAGTATATCCCTGGACTAGGACGTGGGGTGGGGGAAGGCAGCACAGGGGGAGCTTGGTGCTGAAGTCACACAACCTGGATCCCACGCTTCTCTCTCTCGCTCATGAGCAGTGTGACTTTGGATTTATTGCTCTGAGCCCTGATTTTCCTGACTGTATCACATAGATTGGTGCCTGGCTTAGAGTTTCTGAGGCGTAGAATAAAACTAGAGTGTCCACTTAGTGACATCAGGGGAGTACTTTTTTTCATCAGTGTTTTGCCAGCACCGAGAGCAGTGTCTGGGACATGGTAGGTACTCGGTAAATCCCAGTGAGTGAAGGAATGCGTGCGTGCATCTTGGGACGGGCACGTTGTCTCACACGATGAAGGTGGTCAATCCACAGCAGTAGCATTTTCTCCTTTAGAGAGACAACAGTGTGACGTCCATGACTGACCAGTAAATTAGAGAGTATGGTGATGGGAAAGAGCTGGCTGCCACTCGTGTGTGTGTGCCCAGCACTTGGCAGAGGGCAGGAGCCCAGGAGTGCTGCCAGCACATTCAGGGTCACTATTGGTGTTGTAGCTGTGGGGCTTGGAGGCGGCGTCCCTTCTCAAAGGCCCCCTCTGCCAGGTGTGCTGTGTTCCCCGTCCGCCCAGCCTCACGGTGGTGCTTCCCTCTCCCAGGATGCCGTCATGCTGCACAGCTTCACTCTGCGTCAGCAGCTGCAGACAACCCGCCAGGAGCTGTCCCACGCTCTGTACCAGCACGATGCCGCCTGCCGTGTCATTGCCCGTCTCACCAAGGAAGTCACTGCCGCCCGAGAAGGTACAGTCTCTGCCTGCCTTCCCCGACTTGTGGCTGCTGCTGCTGTGTCACAGCCCTTTTCTAATGTGATCTTCTCTCTCAGCTCTGGCTACCCTGAAACCACAGGCTGGTCTCATCGTGCCCCAAGCTGTGCCAAGTTCACAGCCAAGTGTGGTGGTGAGTGTCCCTGTTCCTTGCCGGCGGTGCATTTGTGTACAGTGGCCTGCCCAGCTCTCTTGCGAGTATTGCTGCCATTCTTTGCCTGTAACCCTCACCTTTTCTTTCTAGGGTGCAGGCGAACCCATGGATTTGGGTGAGCTGGTGGGAATGACTCCCGAAATTATCCAGAAGGTAAGTTGTTCCCTCACATGGCAGGAATACGTGCCCCCTCACCTGTCACAAGCCACCTTGAGTCCAGTGTGTGTAAAATTCCATCTTTTTGGGACTGGAACTGAGCGGTGCACAATGTCAACTCCAGAACGAGACTGTCAGGGCTTGTGTTTTGTTGCCATCACTTACAAGCTTTGTGACCTTGGCTTAGGAATCCTTTCTATTGGCATCCACCTTGCGTTTAAACTGAGAATAGTAGCACCTACTTCCTAGACACATAGGATTTTAAAAGATCTCTTTACTGATAAGAACAACTGAGCTCTTGCTATTGGAATGTTTTGCAGATGTTAAGCCATTTTGCTCCATGTTTTTATGTTTTTTTTCCTATAAGGGAGGTAGGACAGGAGTTATTATTTTATAGATGAAGGATTTGAGGCTCAGGTTCAAAGAGCCAGCTCCCATGAAGCAAAGCTGGGCTTTCGCTTGCGAGTTCAATGCTCTGTTTTACACATGGAATCCTCGTTTTGGGGGCTTGTTGGTGTCTTCCCAAGTGACTTAGCTTGTCACCATGCATCTGAGCTCTCCTCTTAGTGTCATAGCTTGGTCTGGAACTCTGCCTACCTGGTTCGTGTCCTTGCCCTGCACTTTGTCACCTCTGTGACTCGAGCAAGAGATTTCACTTCTCTGAGGCTCAGCTGTGAAGTAAGGTCACCAACACCCACCTTATAAGGTTGGGGTGAAACTAATGAGAGATGGTACACAGTAGCCTTTAGCGTGGAACTTGGCAGGGAACAAGTTCTCAGTGATGGTTGTGAAAGCTCACTCGGCATGCCAGCGTCCAGCGGGCCATTGTCCTGGCAAGATGATTGTCTCACACTGAGCCTGTTTCCCCTCTCTCTTCCCCAGCTTCAAGACAAGGCCACTGTGCTGACCACGGAGCGTAAGAAGGTGAGTCCTGTCCTAGAGCCAGGAGAGAGCGTTGGGCTGGAGTGAGGCGGCTGACACTAGGAGCTTTGGGTGACTGAATCTTGCACTCATCGCTGCCTTCCTTTGGGCCTTGTTCATTTGCTCAGAGAGGGAAGACTGTGCCTGAGGAGCTGGTGAAGCCGGAAGAGCTCAGCAAATACCGGCAGGTGGCATCCCACGTGGTAAGTGGCTGGGTCCCCTTCCTCCCGGGGTGGAAGTGCCTGTGGCCTTGTATCCTGCCCTGGCTACAGAGTTCATCGGAGCTGTTCTTCCTGCCCAGCTCAGGGTTTCCCAGTAGTACAGTGAGGGAGCTGCCGCATCCGGGCAGAAAGCCAAGCAGAATGGTTGAGGAGAAGTCACCCTTGTTCTCCTGGGGCATGGAGGGAGGGTGACTGGGGACGTTGTCAGGCTTTGTGGCCTGCCTTCAATTGACCGTGACTGGTTTGGTGTGGCTCTCTCTGCAAAGGGGTTGCACAGTGCCAGCATTCCCGGGATCCTCGCCCTGGATCTCTGTCCCTCCGACACCAACAAGATCCTCACTGGTAAGAGTCTGGGCCTGCCCAGCAGGCCCAGCCTGGGGGCAAGCAGGGGAGGGCGCATGGGGACCCAGGTAGGCCTGACTTGTTTTTTTTTTTTGGTTTTGGTTTGGGTCTTCTCCAGGTGGGGCGGATAAAAATGTTGTCGTCTTTGACAAGAGTTCTGAGCAAATCCTGGCCACCCTCAAAGGCCATACCAAGAAGGTCACCAGTGTGGTGTTTCACCCTTCCCAGGTAAGGGGTTCCTCCTAGCACCCTTGACCCTCTTTCCTGAGCCCTGTTTCAGTGGATTAGGACCCTAGAATAAATCTCTCCAGCCCCGGTCTCCTTGGTAAGGTCGGGTTGAGAAAGAGCTGACTCTGCAGAGTGGGTGTCGTGGGCATTACCCTTTACATAGGGCCTTCAAAACTATGTTCTTCAGCCCAGCGGGAGAAAGGAAGTGTAGTTTGACAAAGCATGTTACAGTGTTCATGATGGACAGTACAGAACCACACCTTCCTCACCCACAGATACCTGATGGAGACAGAAGTGTTTACGTTCCTGTGACTGTCTGGGGGAGGGGGTCAAAACCGCATGTTGACTCTTGAAAGCAGTTTGGGTTGGATTAGATAGTGGGTCTAGAAGGTAACGCAGTAGGCCAGATGAATGCTTTAATGAGTTGTGACTTCTAAGCAGGCTAGGACAGCTTGTGTCTGGGACTGCAGGACAGCGGCTGGATCCGTTTTCCAGAGAGATAGCCTTTTCCTTGAACCTTAAGAATAACATGGACTTTCTCATAAAATGCATTTAAAATTTTTCACAACACTCAAAAGCACTGTTTTCCTTCTCACTTGGTGTTAATAGGTCTTTTATGAGAAATGGATGGCAATTATTTTTAGCTTATGGCTTTTAATGTCCTGCTTAGCCAGAATCGTTGGTTGGCAATGCTGTGTGAATTCTTGCCCTGCCCAGGCTTTGGGAGAATTCACTTGCCTCTGAAATTCCTCAGTGTGGGATGCACTAGAACATGACTTCAGCCCCAGTACTGTTTAGACCTGCTTCATGCAATTTTATGGCCATTAACTACATGTGGCTCTTTGAGTTTGAATTTAAAAGATCTGGTTCCTCATTCGGGCCAGCCGCATTTACTTCTTTCTTTGGTCCTGGAGATAGCGTGGGAAATAGTTGCTGTTGCGGTTATCCTTATTACTCTGAGGTGGCGAGGCTGCCTCCTCCTTCTCCTCCTCCTCCTCTTCTTTCTCTTCCTCCTCTTCCTGATGCTTTGACCATTGTAACAGCAGTTACAGGTGGCTGTCTCAGGTATCATTGGGTGGGTAGGTAGTTCCAGGCAGGGCAGGGCTGACAGAAGCAAGTGTGACTAGCCGTGGCCCGTCCTGTCTGCTTTTGTAAGATTGCCATTCTCGTCTTCTTGGGCCCTGATCTTTGGCCTCTTTGCTTTTCCTTTCAGGACTTGGTGTTTTCTGCCTCTCCAGATGCCACTATCAGGATTTGGTCGGTCCCGAACGCCTCTTGTGTCCAGGTTGTTCGGGCCCATGAGAGCGCTGTGACAGGCCTCAGCCTCCATGCCACTGGGGACTACCTCCTGAGCTCTTCAGATGACCAGGTGCGGGCCAAGCCAGGGCCCTGAAGAGGCCTGCTGGTCCCCAAGCATGAACATCAGGGGTGGAGGGGACGTCTTACCAAGTGCAGCCAGTGCCCCAGCACAGGAGAATGGCTGTTATGCCTGGGGAGGCAGCCTTGCTGGGGTTTGCTGAGCCAGGCTCTCTGCCTCTCGAAGGGCCGCCAGAGCCTGGGGACCCACTTTCTCACTGGCTCTGTTTCTTTCTTCAGTACTGGGCCTTCTCTGACATCCAGACGGGGCGCGTGCTCACCAAGGTGACGGATGAGACCTCTGGCTGCTGTGAGTTGCCTCAGGGCTGCTGAGCTCCTGTTTCCTGTTTATTATTTGTTCACGTTCAAGTCCTTTGCTTGTTTGTCCACGTGAAAGAGAATATTTAGCACCAGCCACTCTTGGGGCCTGGCCTTGTGCTGGGCTCAGTGAGGAAGGTGAGGAACAGAGCAGCTCTCCTTGCTGCTGGGCGCTGGCCTTAGGTCCATCTCCCTCCTCTACAGCTCTCACCTGTGCGCAGTTCCACCCTGATGGACTCATTTTTGGAACAGGAACTATGGACTCTCAGATCAAGATCTGGGACTTGAAGGTAGGAGGACATGACCTCCAGCTGAGGCCCAGGGTTGGTGTACATTCCTATGACTCCGCAGTGCTGCTGCAATGCTGATGGCCTGGTCCCTGGGGTGTCCAAGGCCAAAGAGAGCCTGGCTCTGGTGTGGCTGGGGCCCCTGGGCCTGCCATCCCTGCTGCTCCTGCTGGCTGTCCTTCCCTGAGGACAAAGGAGGGCATCTCAGAGGTGGGAGTTGGGTGAGCCCCGTTTTCTTTCCTCCCTTGACCAGTAGGTGTTGCAGTTTACTGCCCATCTCCCTCCTGTAGGAGCGCACCAACGTGGCCAACTTCCCTGGCCACTCAGGCCCCATCACCAGCATCGCCTTCTCCGAGAACGGCTACTACCTGGCTACGGCAGCTGACGACTCTTCTGTCAAGCTCTGGGATCTGCGCAAACTGAAGAACTTCAAGACGCTGCAGCTGGATAACAACTTTGAGGTGTGCCCCTCCCCACCTCGCAGCTGCTCCCCCTCCCCACTGGCCGCTGCTTCGTGGGATCCCTCTCCCCTGGGCCCCCACAGTTCCTGTGCCCGTGTGACCCACTCTGTGGTTCTGGCAGGTGAAGTCGCTGATCTTCGACCAGAGCGGTACCTACCTGGCCCTAGGGGGCACAGATGTCCAGATCTACATCTGTAAACAATGGACAGAGATTCTTCACTTCACAGGTAGAGGCTGGCCCTGGATCCTGAGGTCTTTGGGCTCTCAGGCTGAGGGAAGTGGGGAAGCCTACCCGCTTAGGAATCTCCAGGGCTGGGCATGGATTTGTGTAGGCAGCATTTAGTCACTGCCAGGGGCAAGAGCATGTGTGACTTAGGAAACAGACTTGGGAGTTAGACTGTGTGGCGGTAAATGCTAGTTAGTACTGACTTTACCACTCCTAGGCTGTGTGACATTGGGCAAATTACCTAACCTTTCTGGTGGTTCAGAAAAATGAGAATGATAATAGCACATCCCTAGAGGTATTGTTGTAAGATTCAGGTGACAGCATTTATAGATTAGATTGGTGCCTAGCACATAGCAGACATTTGCAGTCTTTTACTATTCAGTACCACATCTTAGCCCATTCAGCAGGTAAGACACACCCTGTCTTTGCACTAGTGGAAGGCACATGAGGGATGACTTCTCGACTGCTGCCTTAGTTGCAGCTAAGCAGGCTAGAGAGGAAAAGTGTGAGCTGCAGAAGGCAGTGGGCGGCAGGGCTGCTGCCTCGTGTTGTGTGGCCCTGGGTACCTTCCTTTCCTTTCCAGAGCCTTAGCTCCTTCATCTTCAAAGTGGGACTGTCGGCAGTGCTTAGCAGAGCGTGCCGGCCAGGAGCGGAGGGAGCAGGCAGGGTGCCTGGCTCTCACTTAGCTGCTGAGGGAGTGGTGGCTGCTGGGTCTGTGTTGGGGAAATTGTTGAATTGCCGTCCTCGTAGTGTTGCGGGCGGGATGCGAACACTGCTCCCACACCCCTCTTCTCCTGAGCCTCCTCACGAGGTCCGCTGGTTTTACCCGGCATGGGACCTGGTGTTTGGATTTGGAGCTGAGTTGGGTAGAGTAGCCGCCTGGCAGCACAGGGCAGCTTGTAGCAGGGGAGCTGGTTGGCGCCAGTGTGATCCTCACTCGAGAAGCAGCGTGCCTTGACGTTCATGGATTCCCCAAGTCCCATGAACAGTGTTGTCTCACCTCTCTGCCATTGGTCTTCTCTGCACCATGTCAGGGGCCCAGGGGCCCTGGAGGTAGGACTCCTTGAGCTAGGACGAACTAAGTTACAAGCTAGTAGTGAGAACCAAGCAGACCAGCAAACTGACCACTGAGGTTTTCAGCTGAGCTGGAGTGCGTTTGCCCAGAAAGCTGAAGTGAGACGCGAGGCTGACAGCCCTGTCTTCGCTCATCCCGCCCACGAGTGATGGCGTGCCTGCTGTGTGCCAGGCACTGCGGAAGGCTCTGGGGCTGAACGGTGAGCAGGACGGTGGGTGTGAGCCCCCAGGGAAAGCACACAGATGAGCAGGTCCACACTGCTGGGCAAGGCAAACTGCTTCGCTGTGAGCGTGTTGTCAGGGGTCAGTGTTTGGGTGTTCAGGAGGGGAAGCCTTCTCACAGCTGCCTCTTGTCTCCCTCCTCAGAGCACAGCGGCCTGACCACAGGGGTGGCCTTCGGGCACCACGCCAAGTTCATCGCTTCTACAGGCATGGACAGGAGCCTCAAGTTCTACAGCCTGTAGGCCCTGTCCCTTCTGATGGAAGTGGCCTCATCTCAGTAGCGGGGTAGAGTTAGGATCGGGGGTGGGGGGCGGCTGCTGTGGGAGGGGGGCATCTCTGGGGTGGGACATTCACATCATTTCACTCTGGTCTGGGTGGTGGCCCGAGGGCCATGGTGGCAGGGACCACCCTCAGCCGTGCAACCTCCAGGCTCTACCGGAACGGACCTGAGAGCAAGAACTGTCACCCTGCGAAGGCTCAGGGTCGGAGCCCAGAGCCTCTCCCCTCAAGGTGGTGGCCGTTCCACATATACTTTGTTTCGGTTCCTGTGAGCTGGGAGAGGCTGACCCAAGGGAACTGTGAAGGGGACGGGCATGAGGGCCCGTACAGGTTTTTGTAAACGGTGATCTAGTTTCATTAAAAAAAGACGACAATAAATGGAACCACCTCCCTGTGTCTCTCTGAGGTCGGGGCGGGGCGTGCGGTGCTCAGGGGGCATTGGCACTGCCGGGAAGCCCATCACTCCTTTCCCCTCACAGTGCTCTCACTTTTTTTTTTTTTAAATTGCACTGCAGAAACAACACATCTACCGGCCTCGATCCTGTGCTCCAGAGAGGGCTTCAAGTCCTTTGTGCTGCCACGCGCCTCGTGGGCTTAGCTTCTCACACAGCCTGGGAGGGAGGGTGAGAGGGAGGAGAGCAGGGAAGGTGAACTGCACCTTGCTGTGAGGACCTGTGGGCCTGTCAGTGGGGTTCTTCAGCTGTAGCTGTTGGAAAACTGGTCCCCAGCTGACCAAACTCAGGAAGATTTTATTGACTGGCTGCTGAAAATGTGAAGTAGAGCTGACTCCCGGGTGCCCCAGGCAGTGAACAGTCAGACAACAAGTGGGGAGGGGGCTTGCTGGCACAGGAGGTTCCAAGGCCAGGGTGAACGGTGTGGAGAGGAACAGAGAGGCCCAAGTAGCTAAAGTGCTGGCCAAGGGTGGGTGACTGGGTGCTGCCCAGGGAGATAAAAAGTACACCTGACGAGGCTGTGCTGGTGGGATGCTGGAGCTGGAAGCCTGCTTGGTGTTGGTTGAGAGAACGAGGTCAGAAAGAGGCAGTTGGTGATAACAGGTTGGAAGCAGTACTGGGAGGGGAGCTCGGGAGGGGTTGGGGTGAGGTGTCGTGCATTTGTGGGTGTGGTACAGGGTGTTGTGCCGGTCAGGGTTCCGTGGTCAAGGAAGTTTGGGTGGTGTTTCCCTTGGGAGTCAGGGTGCTCAGTATCCAAAGCCCTAGAGAAGCCTGCAGTAAAGAAACCATTTAACTGTTTAACCCAGTCTCCTCAGCTGTTTAACCCAGTCTCCTCAGCTGGTTAACCCAGTCTCCTCAGCTGTTTAACAGGCGAACCTTCCTTGTGTGTGCACATTTCCCTGGAATGCACCCTTTTTCCATGCCACAGGTTTATTCGTAAACTGCTTCACTGAACAGCATGGAGTGCGTAACTCTTGTTTGGCTTGGGGCCAATGGGCGACTGTCGCAGAGTGGGCTTACGAGGCGCTGTTGGGACACTAACAGATTTCCAACCAGCCTACTCTACCAGTTTGAAGCTAGGGTTCAGGGTACACTATACAGTTTTGTTTTTTTGAAAAAAAATTTAATTTATTTGAAAGACAAAGTGATATAAATCTTTCATCTACTGGTTCACTCCCCACATGGCTGCAGTGGCTGAGGCTGGGCCAGGCTGAAGCCAGGAGCCAGAAACTCCAAGTACTTGGACCATCTTCTGCTCCTGTCCCAGGTGCATTAGGAAGGAGCTGGATCAGAAGTGGAGCAATGAGGACTCAAACTGACACTCCAGTATTGAATGCTGGTGTTGGCAGTGCCTCAATCCACCTCGCCACAACACTATTTCCTAGGCCCCCGCCCCTTATGACTATACTAGTTTATATAATCTCAACTAGTTTTAGGTATTCTGATATATTTCTAAAGTACTAGTTTTAAGAAAAGACCTGTCATGCAGTCCCTCCGAGTCAGGAGGAAAAGGAGTGGGGACTCCTGCTGAGGAGAGGCGGGCTGAGGGTACTCTATGGGTGGGGGGAGGTGTGATTAGAGGTGGGGGAGGCCTGGGCATGATGTGGGGACTGTCAGACTCCAGGGCTAGCAGAGCACTGAAATTATCTAATGGCCTCTGAGTTAGGTGCCATTTTTTTTTTTTTTAAGATTATTTGAAAGGCAGAGTTAACAGAGGGAGAGGGAGCGGGAGACTGAGAGAGGCCTTCCATCCCCAGATGGCCACAGTGGCCAGAGCTGGGCCAGCCTGAAGCCCATTGGGTCTCCCATGTGGGTGCAAGGACCCAAGCACTTGGGCCATCCTCTGCTGCTTTTCCAGGCACATTAGCAGGGAACTGGGCAGCCAGGACTCGAACTGGCACCCATATGGGATGCTGGAACCGTAGGCAGTGGCTTTACCCACTATGCCACAGCGCCGGCCTCGATTGGGTGCATTTTAGCAGGCATTTTTCAGATCTGCCTTTGCAGGAAAATTAGGAAGGAGATATTTAGGGACCGAAGCTCTTGGGTGATTTGGATTAGGGACGCTGTTGTCTCCCTGAAGGTGAGTGAAGCACATGATGTGTCCATACATAAACGTGTTTTTCTAGAGGCAGAGGTTTTTTTTTTTAAAGATTTTAACAGATATAAACATTGTACCTATTGATAGAGTACGTTGTTGTACATATGTATTGTGTAATGTCCAGTCATGATAAATGTGTTTATCACTTCAAACATTTAACATTTCTTTGTAGTAAAAACACCCATAATAGAGAAGTCCGCAGTACCTGAACAGCACCTGTAGTCACCCTGCGGTGCTGTGGTGCAGCTGTGCAATAGAACCCCAGAACTTGGCTGTTAACCTAGTTACAGTCAGTCAACCTTGCCCCTTCCCTCCATCCTCCTCTCTCCTCCCTTCACTCCCTAGCCTCTAGTAACCATTATTTTTTAACTTCTATGAGAGCACCTGTTTTTGTAGACTCCACATGTGAGTGAGATCATGTGACACTTGTCTTTCTGTGCTTGGCTTATTCACTCAGTGACCTTCAGTTCAAATGACAAGATTTCATCCTTTTTATGACCGAGAAGTTTCCATTGTGTATACATGCCACTTTTTTTTTTTTTTTTTGGTCATTCATCAGTGATTGGACACTTAGGTTGTATCCATTTCTTGGTGAAATTGGTAGTTTTTTATTATTAAATATTTATTTACTTATTTGAAAGGTAGAGTTAGAGAGAGAGAGAGAGATCTTCCAACTTCTGATTCACTCCACAAATGGCCTCAAGGGCCAGGGCTGGACTGGACCGAAGCTGGGAGCCTGGAACTCCATCCCAGTTTCCCGTGTAAGTGGCAGGGGCCCAAGGATGTGGGCATCTTCATGTCTTTCCCAGGTGCATTATCAGGGAGCCAAATCAACTGGAGCAGCTAGGACTGGAATTCTCATCCATGCAGGATGCTGTTGTCACAGGTGGCAGCTTAACCCACTGTACCACAACCCAGACCCCTGGGGTTGGTAGATTTTTTTTTTTCCCGACAGGCAGAGTGGACAGTGAGAGAGAGAGACAGAGAGAAAGGTCTTCCTTTTGCTGTTGGTTCACCCTCCAATGGCCGCCGCGGCTGGTGCGCTGCGGCCGGCGCACCGCGCTGATCTGATGGCAGGAACCAGGTGCTTCTCCTGGTCTCCCATGGGGTACAGGGCCCAAGTACTCGGGCCATCCTCTACTGCACTCCCTGGCCACAGCAGAGAGCTGGTCTGGAAGAGGGGCAACCAGGACAGAATCTGGTGCCCCAACCGGGACTAGAACCCGGTGTGCCGGCGCCATAAGGCAGAGGATTAGTCTAGTGAGCCGCAGCGCCGGCGGGTTGGTAGATTCTAAAAGGCTCACCTTTTTTTTTTTACCTATATTGTCAGGCTTATAAGTTTTGTATTTAGGGTTCAAGAGCAGTCAGTAGTCCTGGGTGTCCAAAGGCAAAGTGTTTGGTGGTGATTTAACCAGGGGTTAATGGCGTCCTGTGTGAACTCGGGCCTTCTGATGAGCCAACTTCATGTCGCTGCTCCACTGTTGAAGGCGAGAGGGCATCTACACTGTTGTGCTTGACCTTGGAGCACTAACCCAGGAGGTCCCTTGGGGGCAGTGTGGTTACACTTGTCTCCCCGATAGAGGCACAGTGGTGAAGCTCTTCCCTGTACACAGGATGATGCTGCCACATGGGTGCTCTCTGCATTCTGTGGTTGAGGAAACGGGCTCAGAAAAGTGCTGTGGCTAATTGCCACCCAGTAAGTCACAGACTGGTGCTTTAAGCTGTTTGGTTTCTGAAACCTAGCTGATTACCCCATCATCTGCTAAGACCAGCATGGGCCGCTGATGAGCCACCCCACAGCTTTCTAGGAGTGTCAGGGTTATGCGTGGGATCTGGACAAGCCCTGCCCTGCAACTCGCTATCATGTGTGTCTCTCCACACCTGGAAAAGAGCTCAGGGGCCTGCTTCATAGGCCTGCTGAGGACTGCATGAACTAACAGATGCAGAGAGGCTATTGGCACATGTTGACTACTGTTCTCCCAGCTTCTGGCTCCTGGTAGCCCCCAGTACTGTGAGGTCCTGGTGGCCTGCAATGCTTGACATCCATGACAAAGGTTTGGACTGACTGCCTTCGTCAGTGGGCTCTGATGACAGAAATTGGCTGGACCTTAATTTAGACAGAGAAACAGGAGTCTGCAGATAAAATGCAGCAAAGGTCTGGAGTTCTGACAAGTGTTGACAGTCTTGCAGGTGCTTTGAAAATAGAGGAAATCAGGGGACAGGAGAGGAGACAACAGCATTTGAAGCAGCAGAAGTTCTCCAGACAGAAATGGAACAGGGTGAATGGTGTCCAGAAGAGCTACTGACGGTCCCACAGCCCATGGCGCAGTAAGAGGGCTGAGGGCAGGTTCAGGGGCACATGGGCTCTGTAGGAAGTAGGGCAGTGAGGTGTGTGGAGGAGCACCCAGCAGAGTACCTGCAGCGGGCCAGGAGCAGGAAGTCTAAGCTCTCACAATTAGACTCAAAGTTTGGGACAGATCTCTCTCTCTCTCTCTCTCTCTATTTTTTTTTTTTTTTTTTTTTTTTTTGACAGACAGAGTGGACAGTGAGAGAGAGACAAAGAGAAAGGTCTTCCTTTACTGTTGGTTTACCCTCCAATGGCTACTGCAGCAGGCGCACCACGTTGATCCGAAGGCAGGAGCCAGGTGCTTCTCCTGGTCTCCCATGGAGTGCAGGGCCCAAGCACTTGGGCCATCCTCCACTGCACTCTTGGGCCACAGCAGAGAGCTGGACTGGAAGCCGGGCATCCAGGACAGAATCTAGCGCCCTGACAGGGACTAGAACCCAGTGTGCCGGCGCAGGCGGAGGATTAGCCTATTGAGCCGCAGCA